ATGGATTGAATAAGAGCGAGCATACATTTTAAGAAGAGTTCCAGCGTTGACAGAATCGATTGGACAAAAACAATAAAAGTGTAAGTGGGTGCATAAGCAGAGACAAAATGAAGTTGGGAGAAGCAAGGGCACGTCGAAGATTAGAATAAAGATAAAACCACAGAGAATAAATTAAGATTGAAGAATAACATAAATAAGGCAACACAGACGGGGGGAGCAAGAAGAGAAGAAAAAAAATAAAAGGTGTTAGTACGTTAGTCCACTACTCCAACACCAGAACTACAATTCTAAAAAAAAAAGATACATTACTCATATACATCCGATCGTTAATTAGGAAAAAATACTAAACAAATTTACTGATCTACTCCAAACAAATACTACGTCATTCAGTCGATCACACTCAATGGCGCCATCAGTATGCGCGCGCCCGCCCGCCGCCGCGCCGTTTGAAAGCACATCGACTGTTTGCTCTAAGTGTGGCGACGTGCGCGGCATCTCCCAGCTCGTAATTTTTAGTTCAATTACGAACTGGCTCCATAACTCTGATGTAGACCTTGCATATAAAACGTGTCGAATGATATATGCACGTAACGAGTTCCTTGCTAGTATGCTAAACTGCGTTGGTAACTTTGGTATTACTTATAAGGTAAGCTTGTTATCAGACAATGGTACCTGGGGGATGTACAATGGGTTTAAGTTTTGTTGTACTTGTGTGTGGATTTTACGAATTTATGTGTGTGTGGCTGAGTGTGAACGTTTGTGTGTGTGTGTGTGTGTGTGTGTGTGTGTGTGTGTGTGTGTGTGTGTGTGTGTGTGTGTGTGTGTGTGTGTGTGTGTGTGTGTGTGTGTGTGTGTGTGTGATCGTGTGCCTGTGCGAGTGCGTGTGAGCGTATTGTTGTACGTATACGTGGGTGTCTAAATAAGGCCGGAATCGATAATGATCATCGCGGCTTCCAGCCGTAATATTTACTTGCGCTGACAGTGACGACGGGCATAAAACTTAATCCCCTTACGAGCAAACATCGCCATAACGCCGCCATCAAAGTATCTTCAGCTCATAAAAGTCCGACGGTAGGGGAATTATGTGCGCGGGGCCGGCGGAGGGGGGGGGGGTAGCGATAAAGTTGCAGTGGTCATCTCATTAAATCCAGACGAATAATACCACCTTACATATTTTTCGGACAAACAAGTGGCAGGCGCTGTGGCGGACAAGTGACCTACGCAAGCAGAGCGCAATCAGCGCAAGTGGGTGAAGGCCAAACGGCAGCCCAAAACTTAAGATTCATAACGAGTGCAATATTAACGTCCGTCACGGCCCCCCTCCCCAGGCCCTGAGCGACTCCCCCCTCCCCAGGCCCTGAGCGACTCCCCCTCCCCCTCGAGGCGTCGGCGCTGCGGAGGTGCCAGGAGCAAGGACGCGCGTATCGGTGCCAAGGGCGACGGGACACGGGCGGCGACGGACGTGCCGGTCACGCTAGGGTTGTCACCGCGAATGCAACAAGTTGTTCCCCTGGACGGCACTCGTTAGGGCTTCGCTAAACACGCTTATTTGGGGGTCTTCTGATAGCGGTGTGATGCGAGCGCTCACTCTACGATTTGCTATGATTTTGGGCTCGATGGTTGTTTGATGTTAAGGTTATCATATTCCAGTTATTAGTATCCAGTTAACTAATTCACAATAGGTAATTAGCATATCATACAAATACAAATACGATTAACAACAAAAACTCACCCAACTAAATACCACCACCATTTCTATAAATATGTTAAACTACCGGCAGCGGCCCCTAGGTTAGCATTCTCTGAAACTGTTAACCGCCAACTCCGCCCTCTTTTAAGGCAAGGGAGGTTCCCGCCTGACTTAAGGGATTATTTCCGCGTTTGACAATCTTTTGTGGTTGGTTATCAGAGCACAACAGTCCACATCACCATAAAAATGCTAAAAAGCAAACGACAAAAAACATATGTTGTAATTACTAATTTTCTCTCTCTCGCCGTAGGTACGTTGTTCACCTGGGCAAAAAGATTGTGAGTTATGGTTCAAAATAACGGCAGTATATGTGTATTGCATTATAGAATCCTAAATATAATAGTTAATGCCAGAACTTCTGAATTATTAACACGCAGATAATAAAAGCAGAAATACACAAACATTTATAACGCACACACATGATAAAAATGATAAAAACAACTGACGAAGGAAAAGTTAACAGTACAGGTATATATTATGAATAATGGGGAAAAAGTTTAGAAAATAATAAACTCATTATATGTGCGTGTGTGTGTGTCCTTTATGCTTTAGCAGCCCTTGGTGCAACCTTCCTTTTTTACACATTCATTTTACACACATTCATTCACTGCACGGTCCTTTCACTCACTCTCTCTCTCTCTCTCTCTCTCTCTCTCTCTCTCTCTCTCTCTCTCTCTCTCTCTCTCTCTCTCTATATATATATATATATATATATATATATATATATATATATATATATATATATTATATATATAGACCATATATATTATCTATTATATATATATATATATATATATATATATATATATATATATATATATATATATATATATATAGCTGTGTGTATACATATATATATTCATATACAGTAATACATATATACATACATTTATGATAAAATATAACGTATTTGTATATTTCCTATTTGATATTGCGCTCCGCCATTATCTTTCTTCATACATTTATACTCACGTAAGTATATACACATGCATAAACATTCATTAATTTGATAATTTGTTTATTCAGCTATTGTTGTATCCATCCATATATGTACTAATATATTAATATGTATGCATATATATATGTAAGCATGTATTAATGTACAATATGTAAAATACCTATTTATCTGAATCCATTTATTTAGCCTCATCTTCTATTTATCTCCCTATCTATTTCTCTATCAGTATGATGCATTTAATAAGCATATATACAGGTCACCATCTATATTTGTATTGATATTTCTCACAGACATCATTTTGCATTAATATTTTTCTCCGCCTGGCTTTCGCTCTACCCTCTCCCTCCCCCCTCCCGCCCTACCCCGCCAGCGTGCCCGGTGACCCCGCAACTCCATGAATGAACAGGCCGCCAAAGGTCAAAGGTCAGCCAGTACTAACCCTGGCTTTCGAACACTACATATAAGGAAGCCTAGGATGTCTGATAATACAAAGGTACACATCAAATCTAGTTCAGCAAAACCAATAAGGTGAATCCAACCCGCCAGACGCGGCCGCAAGACAGGGCGCTCGGGTGCGGCTGCGGCTGCCGGACGGGGGATCCGGAGGCACGTC